GGAGGATTGTGGAACGTAAGACATACCTTGTTAGCAACGGGAGGATGTGTGAACGTAAGACATACCTTGTTAGCAACGGGAGGATTTGTGAACGTAAGACATACCTTGTTAGCAACGGGATGATTTGTGAACGTAAGACATACCTTGTTAGCAACGGGAGGATTTGTGAACGTAAAAACATACTTGTTAGCAACGGGAGGATTTGTGAACGTAAAACATACCTTGTTAGCAACGGGAGGATTTGTGAACGTAAGACATACCTTGTTAGCAACGGGAGGATGTGTGAACGTAAGACATACCTTGTTAGCAACGGGAGGATGTGTGAACGTAAGACATACCTTGTTAGCAACGGGAGGATTTGTGAACGTAAGACATACCTTGTTAGCAACGGGAGGATTTGTGAACGTAAGACATACCTTGTTAGCAACGGGAGGATTTGTGAACGTAAAACATACCTTGTTAGCAACGGGAGGATTTGTGAACGTAAGACATACCTTGTTAGCAACGGGAGGATGTGTGAACGTAAGACATACCTTGTTAGCAACGGAAGGATGTGTGAACGTAAGACATACCTTGTTAGCAACGGCAGGATGTGTGAACGTAAGACATACCTTGTTAGCAACGGGAGGATGTGTGAACGTAAGACATACCTTGTTAGCAACGGGAGGATGTGTGAACGTAAGACATACCTTGTTAGCAACTGGAGGATTTGTGAACGTAAGACATACCTTGTTAGCAACGGGAGGATTTGTGAATGTAAGACATACCTTGTTAGCAACGGGAGGATCTGTGAACGTAAGACATACCTTGTTAGCAACGGGAGGATTTGTGAACGTAAGACATACCTTGTTAGCAACGGGAGGATTTGTGAACGTAAGACATACCTTGGCGGTCTGAAGAGCACACTGCAGCAGGGAGTGACCAGGGCATCCAACCAACAATCAAAAATTGTGATTTCGAGGCATTGCGTCCGCCTCGAGTGCTCGAGTTCCCGGGTTCAACTCCTGCTGAAGGCTGTGACTTTTTCATGTGGACATCTAGTAATATTCCCTGGTCTCTGGGTACTAAGATCAGACGCCCGTGTGTATTGGTGCGCACATAAAAGATTTCCTTGGGAGTTTAAAATCGAGAAAAATAGCCTAAAGTCGCTCCCCTGGAAATATTTGGAGTTAAAAATCTACCCAAATTATCTTAGCATCCTTGTCGGTGCTTCGGAATTTGTGCACTGCGCTGAGATTCTTCAGACTCAGGCTTAAGTCAGAAATAGAACAGAGCACTTATCGGTTACTACCCTTGTGCCATTATTTTGACCCGTCGTCTAAACTTCAAACCAAATCAAGATCAGACTACTACATGTGTCATTGTCACTAGATATCTGCGATTGCTGGTGCAGACGTGAGTGGAGCGTTAATGGGTACGTCCTTTGTGCAGTGATGTTGGTTCTCTGCTAAACTCAAGTAAAAAGATATAAACTAAAACAACGAAAGATGTTTGCCTCTTTTCTCTTATAGCAAAGTCAGAACATGAAAAAAATTACGTTACGATTACATAAAAGAACACACCAAATCATTTAACTGAGGTCTCCCCGAGAACAATCCCTCGGTCTTTCTGGCCAGTTGAAACTCTGAGGCACGTGTGAAAACCGGAAATGAATACTAACCAGAAGAAAACAGGGAAGGCAAGGGGAAAGAGTGAGCACTTCTATGTGTACATGAAACACTAATGTTAAGTCTGCCTGGGGTGCACATGCTACTGTGGTGGTACCTCCCCTCCCCTTCTACGGGCTAGTTAGTCTTTCCTCTTGAACCGGTGGTGGCGCATAGGGCAGAGGTCTGGGTTGTCCATGTCTGGCGGTTCATTGCCACCTGCTTTATGTTTCTAAGCTCATTTTTATATCTACTGTATATTTATTGAATCATTATTTCCGCAACTGTTTTTTTTTATAGCGCATTGGTTAAACATGTTGGCGGAGATTAATGGCGTAAAGATCAATATGTGTTTATATATGTGCCTGTAGGCCCAGATGTACTAGGTTCGAGTCCGTGTGAACGGGGAACAAAGGGAGGGGGTATAAACCAAATATTTACGCCGGAGGGGTGGGCACGTGACACAAGTTGACAACCACAGGTTTAACTGAATCATATAAAGGTTAGTAAATGATTTGACAGGGCAACAGAGTTAATTCCAGGGAATCTTTCACAGTTGACACGGGGCGGGGCTGCAGGAGACACGTGACAGAGTTGCTATGATAATCGCCAGCCAGCAGGACAAGATTTCAACCTGGACGCTGATTGGTTAAACATGTTGGCGGAGATTAATGGCGGAAAGATCAATATGTGGTTAATCAAAAGAACAAAGGATGACAAATTCATTGTCCATCAACCCTAGAGAAAATTACAGTTGCACCTATGCTTACTAGATTTCGACGTACGACTTTTCGCACTTAAGCAATGACAAATCTCTGGAGCTTAAAAGTTACATTCGAGAGCTTAAATGTTAAAGTCGAAAGCTTAAATGTTTAAGTTAAGAGGCTTGACTTCGCTTCACCACGTTTTATCCCATATAGCTCAGTTCTCTCTCCGCAGAACAGCTTGCCGCCTGCCAAGAAAGCACGATCTCCGTAGCTCAGGTGACGATCCCCAGAGCGCAAGCCAAACAGCTCTTTAACTTATATCCGCATGCTTGCTTACTTATTTCCGTATCTACGCGCGCACGTGTGTACGTGTATACGCGCTCGATTGAGCGTGTGTTTGAGAACTAGATCCCGGGAGTTTAAGCTCCTTGACGCCCCGGTTAGTGACCCTCGCCCCTTCCAGTGGGTTGATGGGGGAGGGGTTGAGGGGGGGGGGGGGGAAACTGAGATTCTCAACCATGCATAGCTGCTCTCTGTAATGTTTTTTTTTGTGTGTGCGTTGTTTGTGGACACGTGTGTGTGTGTGTGTGTGTGTGTGCGCGCGCGCTTGTGCGTGCGTGCGTGTGTGTATATGTGCGTGTGTGGATGTCTAAATGTATGATGTGTGTGAGACCAACAGTAATGTATCCTGTAGTACCGCCCCCAGGGATCCTTTTACACAACTCTGGTGGCTTATGGCATAAGGTGCTATCTTCATACTTGTATAGATCAATAGGCGCAGAAACCGCATACTATAAGAAATGCTGTAGTACCGCCCTAGGAATCCTGTCTAGGGTTATTTAGCATTTGATGCCAGTTTCATATTTATGTAGATCAATGGGCATTCGATATATGATGTGGTCAATATCCTGGGTGTTTTTTTTTTTTTTTTTTACTTTTTAAAAGCGCTTCATTGTACCGACTTTTAGATAATCTGGACCTCACAGCCCACAACAATTTAAAACCTGCCTCACTTGGATTCCAGCTATGAACACTAGGTTTGCTGTTAATGTTCTATCCACTATGCTACTGCCACGTCAGCATTGACTCTGATAAAGAACAGATCTTGATTGTCTTTGACTTCATACGAACTGCAGTGACACACGTCCCTGCTACTTCTATAGTGTCGCCTGACCTACCTTCTACTGGAGAGTCGTGCGTTTCCTATATAATGCGTTGTTTAACCCCTTCTACCGTATCATTATCTTTTTCTTCTTCATCTTCTTCGTCTTCTTATTTTTCTTCTCCTACTTCGCGTTCACCAGCTGTTAAAAGGCGGAAGGTTATTGTTGCATTATATATTTTCAGTTCAGTATTGAGCGTTGTTCATACCTTTTACTATAGCATAGTATATTTCCAGTGTTGCGAGTTGTTTAACCATTGTACAACATCACTGTATACTTCCTGTATCAGTTATGCAGGATCCAAAGTTCAGCAGTTGATTCATGACACTTCCCCCAAGGTGATGTGATTATCTACACTTGATACAGATGGCGCTGTGTTTAGAGGCAGAAGAAGTGCATGGGGGTTCTGGGCAAAGGTGAATAGACCTCGCTTAATGCTGGCATATGATACCACAACACCTAGACTGAAAATTGAGAGGAGGCAGTCACTACAGCTTTCCACTGAATTGAGAACTAGCCGCCCACATATGTTGCGTTGCAAATAATTCACAGAGCATATTCAGAAAGGTCTGCTCCGTGCAGATTGGTGAGTACCGGCTCAGACATCCCTGGTAGTTACCGCTGTTCAGATATTCTCAAACGATAAATGTGTGATGTGAAACCAACAAGCAAATATGCTGATTTGTTCTGCACTATCTAATGGTAAATAGACACATGACAAGCTAGATGTCTATAGGCTGTTTGGGAGCGAGTGAACAGTATGGAATCACAAACAGATCACAACGATCTGAACAGAATGGTTCATCCAGAAGTGATCACGAGTGCTGGCCAAAATCCAACACTCATGGGAAAGGCGAGGCAGACAAACAATGAAACTGTTACTGCTAACAAGGGAAGGGATACTTTGCCCTTGCTGCTGAAGATGGGGACTGAGCTACGATATCATTTCTTAACTCATCTGTATTTTCTGTATCCGTGTCGTTTAACTATTGCACTAAAGCATTAACTAATTCATATATGACGTGTTCTATAATCCTTTTACTACAGTATTGTATATTTCCTGTCCCACATGTTCTATAAGGGAGCCACCGTGATGTAGCGGTTAGACTTTCGCCTGCGGGTCGAAAGGTCGCGGGTTCGGGTCTTGACAGAACCGAATTTGTTTCTCTCAAAAATAACCTCGGCTCCCAGATCGAGCCAGCCTTACATGGGCACCAGGTATAGTCATGGGAAGTAACGGCGACCGCCATGTTGGTGACAACATCATCCATCGAGTGCTGATTGGTCTATAAAATACAGGTGTAGCCCTATACGTCTAGTACACCTCAAGGCGCAGGAAGTTTTCTTTATTGCTATGTTCTATAGCCCTTCTACTGTAGCAATTAAAATTCCACGTAATACATGTTATTTAGCAGCCGTACTGAATCGTTTGGTCTGTATCATGTGTTCCCTAACCCATCAACTACAGCATTGCATATTTCTAGTATCACATGGAGGGACTCGGCCTGCGATCCCAAGGCAGCACTGGGGCATTTCGTGACCTATCTCCTCGACCAGCGACCTGATGTCGTGTTTGGACCTCCTTGTACTAGAGGTAAGCTTATTAGTATCTGTCTGTGCACGTGCATGCGGTTTTTAACACTCACACACTTGCGTCAGTTCAGGGTATCATCTTTACTAACTATTTGTGTGAGTGTGTGTGTGTGTGTGTGTGGTGACGGTGTGTGGTGACGGTGTGTGTGTGTGGTGACGATGTGTGTGTGGTGTACTGTGTGTATGTATGTATGTATGTATGTATGTATGTATGTATGTATGTATGTATGTATGTATGTATGTATGTATGTAGTATGTATGTATGTATGTATGTATGTATGTATGTATGTATGTATGTATGTATGTATGTATGTATGTATGTATGTATGTATGTATGTATGTATGTATGTATGTATGTATGTATGTATGTATGTATGTATGTATGTATGTATGTATGTATGTATGTATGTATGTATGTATGTATGTATGTATGTATGTATGTATGTATGTATGTATGTATGTATGTATGTATGTATGTATGTATGTATGTATGTATGTATGTATGTATGTATGTATGTATGTATGTATGTATGTATGTATGTATGTATGTATGTATGTATGTATGTATGTATGTATGTATGTATGTATGTATGTATGTATGTATGTATGTATGTATGTATGTATGTATGTATGTATGTATGTATGTATGTATGTATGTATGTATGTATGTATGTATGTATGTATGTATGTATGTATGTATGTATGTATGTATGTATGTATGTATGTATGTATGTATGTATGTATGTATGTATGTATGTATGTATGTATGTATGTATGTATGTATGTATGTATGTATGTATGTATGTATGTATGTATGTATGTATGTATGTATGTATGTATGTATGTATGTATGTATGTATGTATGTATGTATGTATGTATGTATGTATGTATGTATGTATGTATGTATGTATGTATGTATGTATGTATGTATGTATGTATGTATGTATGTATGTATGTATGTATGTATGTATGTATGTATGTATGTATGTATGTATGTATGTATGTATGTATGTATGTATGTATGTATGTATGTATGTATGTATGTATGTATGTATGTATGTATGTATGTATGTATGTATGTATGTATGTATGTATGTATGTATGTATGTATGTATGTATGTATGTATGTATGTATGTATGTATGTATGTATGTATGTATGTATGTATGTATGTATGTATGTATGTATGTATGTATGTATGTATGTATGTATGTATGTATGTATG